TTTGTCACTCAACTGAAAACAAGACACGTCAGTACCCCATACTCACAACTTTACATATGCATACTGCCAATGAAAAGACGAAAAAAAGATTCTCACTTTGTTTCGCATATCATAAACATAAGACTCAACAGCATTCTTTCGGTCCTTGGTCTCTTCCATAACTCTGTCTTGCAAAGCCATCTCAAATTCCTTCTCCACAGCCTTATCGACCTCCACAGATTTCAAGGCACCATAGACCAATTCTGACAGTGGTACATTTGTTTTCTTCACCTTCTTCTTCGGAGCCTCAGCCTGCACAATCCATTAATAAATATCCATTATTATCTAATGTTCACAAGCGAATAGCAAGCAGTATCAGTTAAGAGAGAAACTAGCCTTTAAATCAGTTTCCATTTGCACCGGCTTCTCAGCAGACTCTGGAACACCATTGTCAGAACCAGCTGCATCACTGGTATCCTTGGCGTCCTGCATGTTAACATCAGAGTCACCAAAAGCAGGAGCTGCCTCGGCAGAAGCTTTGTCAGTGTCCATCTTAGTTGTTTCCTCTGATTGATCTTTTGTGACCGGAACTTCAACTTCTTCCTCTTCCAAAAGCTGCATTTAGGGGAGGAAAAAGATTAGGATAAATTAACGAATCACTAAGTTCATAAGGGAAGGCACGGTCCTGGATGATCAACTTGTAATCAGTTATTAGAGAGAATGAGACTTTAAATAGTACACGTAAAGAAACTTACAGTTGCCGATTCAACTGAGACAATTCCATGCAGGTTCAATCTCACTTTCACTTTAAGCTTTGCCCTCTCGCCTTTTGATGACTGGAAGGGACCAATCTACAAAAAGGAGATCAACCATGAGAACCAAGAGTGCTACAGTCATACATAGTCATGACATTGGGGAAAGATCAAACCGTGTATGTGCTGATTTTTGGAGGTGCTTGCAAATCGTTCACATCACTGTACTGCACATCAATAGAGAATGTTCCAGAACGATAAAATGTTAGAGCCTTGACACTAGGAATGGGATTTCCTTTGGGAAAAACAACAGTGCTCTGCTGATTCTCAGCTCCTCCATTTTGAGCATCGGAAGCTGCTCCTGTCCACGCCAGCGAAATTGAGAAAGGGAAGCTCTCATGAACCTTAAGAGAACAAAAAAAAAATCATAATATGACTAGTCAGATAACCTGGAGTAAACAGTTCTAGTTGCTTACAAGTAGACGAAAATAACGACATTCCCTTAAGCATAGATATGCACCAATCACCTGGAATTCGCGAACTTTAAAGGTCGGACTGAGAATGGCACACTGCAAGGCACATCCCCTCGACACACACTCACTTGCATTCATTGTACGCCTGGGCTCCTTACCAAAAAACTCAGTTAGAATCTTGATCATAGCAGGGACACGAGAGCCAGAGCCGACAACCTCGACCATATGTACATCTTCAACTGTGAGGCCCGCATCAGAGAGAGCTTGCTCTAGAGGCCTCTTAACACGCTCCAGAATAGGGATGCTGATCTCTTCAAACTCTTCCCTCTTGATGACACCCCTAACATCTTTCTCATCCATCAAACACTCGATATTCAATGGTGCGACAGGATTTGCGCTTAGAACCTTTTTGAGTTTCTCGCACGCAGCACGGAGCCTGAGAGAAGCCTTAGCATTCTGGGAGACGTCAATCTTGTACTCGTCTTTGAACTTAGCAGCAAAATGATTGAAAAGAACTTCATCAAAGTCCCTTCCTCCAAGGGAGGGATCGAAACCGTGAGACAAGATTTTGAGCTGCCCTTTTTTGAAGCCTGCAATACAGACTTGCATGCTTGCGTGTCCAATGTCAATGAATGCAACATTGAGCTGGTCATTCTCTGGCAGATCTGTCTTATAAATTCCATAAGCCAAAGCCGTTGCTGTAGTCTCGTGGATCAAGTGCAAGGGATGCAAGCCTGCAATTGTGGCTGCGTCGAGAACAGCCCTTCGCTGGAGGTCTGTAAAGTAAACAGGAATACCAATACAGCAGTCGACCACTGCAGCATTCAAATTCTTCTCGGCAATACCTTTCAAGTTAGACAACATCATACCCATGACTTGAGTGGGAGTAAAGGCTCTAGTCTCTCCCAAATAACTAGCATGGATCAAAGGATAGCCATCAGGCCCTTGGGTGACGGAAAAGGGAAGGGATTTGATATCCCTTTGCAGCTCAGGGTCGGAAAACTGGCGACCAATTAAGCGCTTGATTTGAGAGATGGAATTTTTGGGGTTCATCATGGTTGAAGCAGCTCCAGCAGTACCGATGAAGCGCTGCTTGTCACCAAAGCAGACAATAGCGGGAGTCTCACGATTGGACTCATCATTAAGCACGACGTCGATACCTCTTTGCCTTGCAACAGCAACAAGGCAGTTCTCGTTTCCAAAATCAAAACCAACTACACTCATTGTCAGGCTTTGTGTTCTTCAATTCTCCCACGTGATCGAGAGCTACCTTATATATATATATATAAAAAAAAGAAAAAAACTATCCGATTAAAAACTGTGAAATAGCGATCAAAAGAGACTAGCCTTGAGCTCGAAAGATAACAGGAGAAGACGAACAATCAGGCCAGGTAGCCTTACTGAACCTAAATCAAACCACCAGTTTGGATTTACATCACCAATACATACGTGGAGTTTGAATACAAAAGAAGCTAAGACAATTTCCCACTACAAATCCGTAAGTAGCGAAAGCAGAAGAATCTTATTGAAACAAGTAATCCGCGAGGGAAAGCAACCAGAAAATAGATTGAAAAAAAAAACTATAAGTGAGGAAAAAGAGAGGCATCAGATCTAGAAGAAGATCTGCAAGTAGAGCATACCTGGATCGCGAGAGGGGTTCGCGTTCTGGTGGAAGCTTCTACCGAAATCTGGGTGAGGTGAGTTAATCTGTAATCGTGTCGCAGCCAAAAAGTGAAGAGGCAAGAGACCAGAGTTTTTTTTTTTATATATAAAGGAAGAGCAAAAGAGAGGTTTAATTAAGGAGCAGACACCACCACAGGGTTTGGGTTCGTCTGGAATGTTCTTCTCCTTTCTTTTTTTTTTTTTTTTCTTTTTCTCTAAACACTTTCATTTCCTTTCTCTTTTGTGATATTTTATTTTTTTGCCTCTTTTTTGCTTTCTTAGGTTTTTTTTTTTTTTTTATCCCAATATTTTTGTATACTTTGAGTCTACATAATTTATTTAAACCCAATGTATAAAATTTACTTAAAATCACCGTCAAAACAAATTTTATTTCTACAAATTTGTTATTTAATAGGTTGGGTGGGTCAAGTTGTATGATTTAACACATAAAATTTCTGAAAAATTATAAGAAAGTTACAATTATTATAGAGAAGTGGCTGGTGTTATCAGAATTTGTATTACATAAGATATGCTTGTTTGGATTATAGAAACAATACAACTTCAGCCTGGATGACCACCTCGAAGTTGTTGCCAATGGTCAGGAAGAGGTGAGCCACCGCATAAACGTCACACATAGGAGAAGATGTTAAGCTTCTAAGAGATCAAAATCGTACTTTCATTTGCTGTTTATATAAAGTTAAACAGTCCAGTCCAATATAGAACGATCCGTATACACTGACTCCATAGTAATTATAGAGAAGAGCAGAAAAAATGACTTTCAAATTAAAAAACAAAACCACAAGTAACAACAATAAGAAAAACGACGCTTCCTAAAAACTGTTATCGAGAAGGAAGAATTAAAAATATAGAATTTTTCCGGGAATAATAGCGAAACCAGAAAAAGAGGTTCCGCTAGGTAAATTAAAAAAAAAGAGTAAGAACAAAATCGATACAACACCATCTCGCTCTCGTCATTCATTTAGGCACTACCTTCGGCGGGATTCTCAGTCTCCATTGGTTCGGCAGAAGCTGGTTGCTCTGCCTCACTATTGCCCTCATCTGCCGGCTCACCTCCCTTGGCTTGTGGTGCTTCTGCTTTAGCCGGCTTTGGTTTGGTCATTATAGGCCTGCAAAACCTGCAAAACATCCAAGACTGGTTCACTCTCTATACAACATATACCAAGCATTTCTATTAGGAGACAGATACAAAGATCCTTGCTTACTTGTCCAATGCCTCCGCCTTGCTTTTAACGTCAGCTGACAAGAGAGCCGGTGTGGCATACTTGGGAAGCGTGTCCTGCTGCTTCTTCTTCTCCCGCAACCATGCTTCTGCTTCCACACACTCGTTCAAAACCTTCATTATTGCACAACAACAAAACACACATCAAACCATTTTCCCCAAGCCTGTTAAATTTACGATTTGTTCTGTGCTTTCGAGATGAGCTGAATTCTTACCTTTTGCTTCTCAGCCAATTCAATGTGGTCAAACTTGGGATCATTAGACATAGCTGCCTCTCTGTAGCTGTTAATACAGTAACCAAGCTGATCAATGACCGACCCTCTTTCCAACGACTCTTTGTAACGTACTTCAACAGGGTCACCCACCTGCAAAAGATCAATACCCAGCCTCTGTTAAAACATTAACATCAAAAATGTTTTTTTTTCTGCACAATAAAGTGTCATCATACGGTCTTTGCAACATTACCTTCTTGAGCTCCTCGAGCTTTGCAACATAAACACCTTTGGTCTCATCTTCCCCATCTTCATACAACCAATCCTCCACTTCCTGCAGCTTCGCCAGGAATGCTTCCCTCTCAGCATCAGTGATATATTCCTGGTATTTGTCACTCAACTGAAAACAAGACACGTCAGTACCCCATACTCACAACTTTACATATGCATACTGCCAATGAAAAGACGAAAAAAAGATTCTCACTTTGTTTCTCATATCATAAACATAAGACTCAACAGCATTCTTTCGGTCCTTGGTCTCTTCCATAACTCTGTCTTGCAAAGCCATCTCAAATTCCTTCTCCACAGCCTTATCGACCTCCACAGATTTCAAGGCACCATAGACCAATTCTGACAGTGGTACATTTGTTTTCTTCACCTTCTTCTTCGGAGCCTCAGCCTGCACAATCCATTAATAAATATCCATTATTATCTAATGTTCACAAGCGAATAGCAAGCAGTATCAGTTAAGAGAGAAACTAGCCTTTAAATCAGTTTCCATTTGCACCGGCTTCTCAGCAGACTCTGCAACACCATTGTCAGAACCAGCTGCATCACTGGTATCCTTGGCGTCCTGCATGTTAACATCAGAGTCCCCAGAAGCAGGAGCTGCCTCGGCAGAAGCTTTGTCAGTGTCCATCTTAGTAGTTTCCACTGATTGATCTTTTGTGACCGGAACTTCAACTTCTTCCTCTTCCAAAAGCTGCATTTAGGGGAGGAAAAAGATTAGGATAAATTAACGAATCCCTAAGTTCATAAGGGAAGGCACGGTCCTGGATGATCAACTTGTAATCAGTTATTAGAGAGAATGAGACTTTAAATAGTACATTTAAAGAAACTTACAGTTGCCGATTCAACTGAGACAATTCCATGCAGGTTCAATCTCACTTTCACTTTAAGCTTTGCCCTCTCGCCTTTTGATGACTGGAAGGTACCAATCTACAAAAGGGAGATTAACCATGAGAAACAAGAGTGCTACAATCTTACGTATTTATGACATTGGGAAAGATCAAACCGTGTATGTGCTGATTTTCGGAGGTGCTTGCAAATCGTTCACATCACCATACTGCACATCAACAGAGAATGTTCCAGAACGATAAAACGTTAGAGCCTTGACACTAGGAATGGGATTTCCTTTGGGAAAAACAATGGTGCTCTGCTGATTCTCAGCTCTTCCATTTTGAGCATCAGAAGCTGCTCCTTTCCAAGCCAGCGATATTGAGAAAGGAAAGCTCTCATGAACCTTAAGAGAAAATAAAAAATCATAATGACTTGTCAGATAACCTGGACTATGACAGTTCTCAAGTTGCTTATAAGTAGACGAAAATAACGACATTTACTTAAGCATAGATATGCACCCATCACCTGGAATTCGCGAACTTTAAAGGTCGGACTGAGAATGGCACACTGCAAGGCACATCCCCTCGACACACACTCACTTGCATTCATTGTACGCCTGGGCTCCTTACCAAAAAACTCAGTTAATATCTTGATCATAGCAGGGACACGAGAGCCAGAGCCAATAACCTCGACCATATGTACATCTTCGACTGTGAGGCCCGCATCAGAGAGAGCTTTCTCTAGAGGCCTCTTAACACGCTCCAGAATTGGGATGCTGATCTCTTCAAACTCTTCCCTCTTGATGACACCCCTAACATCTTTCTCGTCCATCAAACACTCGATATTCAATGGTGCGACAGGATTTGCGCTTAGAACCTTTTTGAGTTTCTCGCACGCAGCACGGAGCCTGAGAGAAGCCTTAGCATTCTGGGAGACGTCAATCTTGTACTCGTCTTTGAACTTAGCAGCAAAATGATTGAAAAGAACTTCATCAAAGTCCCTTCCTCCAAGGGAGCGATCGAAACCGTGAGACAAGATTTTGAGCTGCCCTTTTTTGAAGCCTGCAATACAGACTTGCATGCTTGCATGCCCAATGTCAATGAAAGCGACGTTGAGCTGTTCATTCTCTGGCAAATCTGTCTTATAAATTCCATATGCCAAAGCTGTAGCTGTTGTCTCGTGGATCAAGCGCAGGGGATGCAAGCCTGCAATTGTGGCTGCATCGAGAACAGCCCTTCGCTGGAGGTCGGTAAAGTAAACAGGAATACCAATACAGCAGTCGACCACAGCTGCATTCAAATTCTTCTCGGCAATACCTTTCAAGTTAGACAACATCATACCCATGACTTGAGTCGGGGTAAAGGCTCTCTTCTCTCCCAAATAATTAGCATGGATTAAAGGATAGCCATCAGGCCCTTGGGTGACGGAAAAGGGAAGGGATTTGATATCCCTTTGCAGCTCAGGGTCGGAAAACTGGCGACCAATTAAGCGTTTGATTTGAGAGATGGAATTTTTGGGGTTCATCATGGTTGAAGCAGCTCCAGCAGTGCCGATGAAGCGCTGCTTGTCACCAAAGCAGACAATAGCGGGAGTCTCACGATTGGACTCATCATTAAGCACGACGTCGATACCTCTTTGCCTTGCAACAGCAACAAGGCAGTTCTCGTTTCCAAAATCAAACCCAACTACACTCATTGTCAGGCTGTGTTATTCAATAATACTGGAGCCTCCCAAGTATTTGAAAGCAACCTTATAAATTTTTTTAAAAAAAGTATCAGAATAACAAGTGTGGAAAATTGATAAGAACAGATTAGTTTTCAGCTCAACAGACGAATTGGTGTTAACTCAGGTCAGGTAAGCAGTCTTATTACTGAACCTAAATCAAACCAACAGTTTAGATTACAATCGCCAATACATACACACCAAGCGGGGGAACACGCGAGCCATTCATACAAGTAGATCAAATCTAAAAATCAAATCTACGAAAAAAAAAGAAGAGGAGCTTCAGATCTGGAAGATCTGGGAATAAAGATTAAGAAACATACCTGGATCGCGAGAGGGGTTTAAGTTATGGAAGCTTGAACCCAAATCTGGGTTTTCTCGTCGCAGAGAAAAACGAAGAGCAGGAGGTTGTCGTTGAGAAGAGAGAAGAGAGCAGGAGGTAGAGGTTTATCAAGGAGCCCCAGGGTTGCGTTCCTCTCCACTTTTCTTTTCCTTTTTTATTTTTTTATTTTTTTTTTTGTTTTCACACTTTTCTTTTCCTTTTTTCTTTTTTTCCGTTACCACTTTTATTTCGGGAAAAATGTCATTTAATAGCCGAATTTTCAAAAATGGCCGTTTAATACGTGAACTTGTTATATGGCCAATTTAAACATGAAGTAAACGTTGACCGGCCAATTTAAACATGAAGTATTAGTTGACCAGGCCAAAAACCACACGCTGTTATCTGTCGTTAACAGATCCGATAACAGCCGTTAACGATTCCGTTATTACCTAAAACGACGTCGTTTTGGGCTTAATCGCCGTCGTGTCTTCAAGCTCCAGCAAT